GTGGGTACACCTGGTGCGAGGCGCAGAGAGACTTGCGGGCGGTGTGCAGCTTCATGTTGGGGGCGCTCGTCTGCTGTGCGGTGGACGTGTCTGGTCTCAGGAGACCGCCCGTGGCCCCTCGCAGGAGGGAGCCGAGGTCTGATACGCGGTGGGAACACACGAAGTTGTGGCAGAGGAGAAAAGGGCTGGGTCAGAAGGATCAGGACTTTTTTCGGGGCCAGAGTCTACAGTACTCTTGTGCTCCATGGTTGACTGAGATTGGTGCTTCGCCTTGATGTGTGTCATGGATGTTTGTTTTTAGTGTACGTTCTAGACTTGTTTTTGCATTTCCCTGGTGGATATTCGTGTGGGTCGTTCATCGATGCGTGCCCTGGAAGGATGTTGCTGGTGCCTTTTTTCCCGAATAGCCAGGGCATGCTTACTTTTATGCTACGTGTGCCCTTGGAGCAGCATGTTTTTACGCATGCTGCTGGATGGCACCGGGGAGCCTGGTTGTGGTAGGGCCCGGATGCATGTGGACAGCGGGTCTCCGCGAGGCTGCGACGTGTGCCCTGATGTCCCCGATGACACCTACACCTTAGGCGATGCTTCAGAAAACTTAAGTTTTCGGCCAGAGTCTTAGTTATTCTTAATGTTTCAATGTGAGTCCTAAGATGTTCATGGAAATGTTGGGTTTTTAATCAAGTTCTGAGACTATGAATTTCTTAACCTATGATTTCTTAAGCATTTCGCAGGGTGTACTGTTCTGTGTCACTGGTGCGCCGTGCAGGGCATCACGGGCGGGAGAGAGTCTCGGGGCCCGGTTGCCGCGGCGTGCAGGGCCGGCGCGCGGGCTCGTCGTGGGCAATCGGGCAGCTCGAGCCCTGCGGGTGGGGAAAGCCCTCGCGACAGCGAAGGAGCAGTCGACAGACAACGCCACGGAGCCAACACACCGCACGTGCTGCAGAGAACATCGTGGGAACGTTGCTGTGCCAACCAGGGTGCGTCAAACAGCCGTCCCCTTGACGTCTGGCGCGGCCCCTCCCGGAATTCGGAGGGGGCGGGGGGCGCCAGGCGTGGCGAGAGAGCAGGGAGCAGACACCTGGCTGGAACCAGCGAAAGGCTGACACGAAGCAGCCGCCAGATGGGGTGAAAGGGGGAGGGGGATCGGTAAAGTCAGGGGCAACGATAGGGAGGGGTAGGCATAGGCATAGGGGGTGATGCATCGACCTCCAATCGCCTAATGATCGCCCATAGGGGCCCGACAGCCCCACCCCGCCCAGGACTGTGGAGACTTGCTATCGGGGCCCTATCCCCGATCTATCGGCGATGCATCGCCGATTCCAGGTCGATGTATCCCCCTCTATGGCAGTCCCCCCCTACCGCTCTGCCCCTCATAGTTAAAGTGTTGGCAACGGGTTCAGGGTCCCCGCCCTCAAAAAGGTGGGCGGCGAGCTGACGCCCACCGCTCCCAAGTGCAGGCGCTGTTGCGTGCCACCGCCAGCGTCCAGACGTTTGTGCTGCGCGGCGGCGGAGGGGGATAACAGGCCACAAAAAAGACGGCAGATGACGGCGAACGCGCAGGCAGCAGGCCATTGCCGGCAGGACGATGCATTGGGCGGCAACGACATCAGTTGCACGCTGCTTTCTGCCTCGCCGCCGGGCGCTTTCCTCGATGCTTTGCGCCTCGGTCGACGGGAGGCTATCGAGAAACCGCGGGAAACAATTATCGCCCCCCCTCTCTTTGTCGGCGAAATGTTATCGCGTCTCGCCCCTGCAAGTGATATCCCGCCCGGGGACCCCTCAACGCGGGACCCCACCTGGATCCAATTAGGATTGCACTAAAATTCTCAGTGGTTCCCAATGGGAGCCGAAGAAGGTCGCAACACTCACCCAGTTAGATTGTTTCAGGGTTGCGTCAGGGATAGGGGCTGTCGGCGGGGGTCATTGGTTTCCTTGGGGCCTCTCCTTGGTTGTCTCTCTCATCTCACCCCCACCGCCGCTTCCTCCATCCGTGGAATTCTTTCTATGTATTAGTCCGTCGTGGTGCTCACAATATCGCTCTGCGGCCCCCCACTCCTCGGGGATCGGAGGTGAGGGGGTGAGATCGAAGTGGAACGGAGAGCCCCCCTACTGGGAAATCGGTTTCGGTTTCGTGTTCGTGCGTGCCGTGCGTGCGGGCGAGGCGAAGCTGCGTGGGCGGGCGAGAAGAAAGTCTCCTCCGGCTGAGGCGCGGCCGGACCAAATGATTCCTTCCCGGGGGCCGGTGGCCCGCGGTGTCCCGCCGGTGTCCCGCCTCCAACTGAGGCGCGGCCAGACCAAATGATTCCTTTTCGGGGGCCGGGGGCCCGTGGCCCGAGGTGTCCCGCCGGTGTCCCGCCGGTGTCCCGATGATGATGATGTCGATGATGTGGATGATGATGCTGATGATGAGGATGATGATGATGGTGATGCTGATGGTGATGTTGATGGTGATGGTGATGGCGATGATGGTGATGATGATGGTGTCCCGAGGATGATGATGATGATGATGATGATGGTGATGATGCTGATGATGATGATGGTGATGATGATGATGTTGACGATGTTGTTGATGATGATGTTGATGGTGATGGTGGTGATGATGATGGTGTCCCGATGATGATGTTCATGATGATGTTGATGATGATGATGGTGTCCCGATGATGATGATGGTGATGATTGTGAGAATGTTGGTGACATGAGATGATGATCTGATGATGATGATGATTAGGATGATGATGGTGCGACGATGCTGATGATGATGAGGTTGATGATGATCCTGTTAATGATGATAATGTGGATTGTGATGATGGTGTCCCGGTGGATTGTGATGACGGTGTCCCGATGGTGATGACGATGGTGATGATGTTGATGATGAGGATGATGAGGAGGTGATGATGGCGAGTTTGAAGATGGTGGCTCGATGATGGTGATGATGCTGATGTTGATGCTGATGATGCTGTCCCGATGATGATGGCGATGGTGGTGATGATGATGATGGTGACGATGATGATGGTGTCCCGATGATGATGATTTTGTTGATGATGACGATGTTGCTGATGATGATAACGGTGCCCCGATGATGATGCTGATGTTGTTCATGATGACGATGAGATGATGATGATGGTGGTTTTCCGATGATGATGACGATGGTGCCCCGATGATGATGATGATGAGGATGATGATGATGATGATGATGATGATGGTGGTGATGGTGATGGTGATGGTGATGGTGATGGTGATGGTGATGGTGATGGTGATGGTGACGATGATGGTGTCCCGATGATGATGATGATGATGATGATGATGGTGACGATGGTGACGATGATGATGCTGATGGTTATGGTGATGAGGTGGTGGTGATGATGATGGTGTCCCGAGGATGATGGTGATGGTGATGACGATGATGTTGCTGATGATGATGATGATGATGATGATGATGACGATGATGATGATGATGATGATGATGATGATTACGTTGATTGTGTGATCGATTGTGAGATCGATAGTTAGATCGATAGTGATACCGAAGGTGAGATCGATAGTGAGATCGATCGTGAGATCGATAGTGAGACCGATTGCGAGATCGATCGTCAGATCGATTGCGAGATCGATCGAATGGAATATATCGAGTGAGATCGATTGTGAGATCGATCGAGTGAGACCGATAGTGATATCGATCGTGAGATCGATAGTGAGACCGATCGAGTGAGACGTTGGTTCCCCCCCAAGCCTCCCTATCACCAGAAGTGTGGTCGTATAGGTACTCTGCTCGATGTTGTGTGCTATGGATCACGGGCGGGGGATCGATAACCGATTCCCACGGTAAAGTTTCTGAAGCGGTCGTCGTTGAATTTCTGCTTGTTTTGCACTGGCCAGATATGTCCTTGGAGGATCCCACGGGGGCTTCTTCTTGGGGTGCTCAGGGGGGGGCCTTCTGGCGGTTTGGGGGGCATCCCCCAGGGAACATGACTCGACATGGAAGCTGGTGTTCGCCTTGTTGGGCGCCTCTCTTGGCCGAAATGTGTGCCTCCTGGGTCTGGGGCTGCTCTCGTACGATGTGGGGGGCCTCGTAGGCCGTTCTCAGGCGCTCCTCTTGGGCCGTTCTCAAGCGCCCCTCTTGGCCGGAGTGCGGGCCTCTTGGGCCCCTCGCGGGGGCGGTCTGGGGCTGCTCGCGTGTGATGTGGGGAGCCCCGTGGGCCGGTCTCGGGCGCTCTTTCTGACCGAAGAGGCCTGGCTCTGAGTCATCGATTTTGGCACACGCCTGGGCCTGCGTCTTCGGAAAGGGCCCATAGAGAGCTCCTCAGAAGGCCCTCCGCCTATCCTCCTCCTCCTCCTCCTCCGCCTTCTCCTCTTCCTCCTCCTCCTCCTCCTCCTCCTCCTCCTCCTCCTCCTCCTCCTCCTCCTCCTCCTCCTCCTCCTCCTCCCCCTCTTCTGACCGAAAAGGCCTGGCCCGGGGAAATCAAAGATTTTGGCTTCGGTCCCCAGGGCTTCGCATAGGCACATGTGGCGCCCACGAGGGTCTCAGGATGCGCCTCAGCGTATCTCAGTATTTTATACCAGTTTGAAACATATCCGCACAGACGAGACTGAGACCAAGCACGAGCGAGACGGGACTGAGATCAACGCCGATGCAGCACAGACGGGGCCGAGAGGACCCCGCCCTATCTGTGCTGCATCGGCGATGTGGCGCGAGCCGCAGCTTGGCCCTCCCCGCCCCGGCGTCGCCGATGCATCGGCGATGCGGTGCGACCCTCCGACCCCTCGATCTCTGGCCTGCAAAAGGTAGGACGAGAACGGTCTGCACAGGCCCCTCCCTCCTCGTCCTCCTCCTCCTCCACCACCACCTCCACCACCTCCTCCTCCTCCTCCTCCTCCTCCCTCCTCCTCCTCCTCCTCCTCCTCCTCCTCCTCCTCCCCCTCCCCCTCCTCCCCCTCCTCCTGCTCCTGCTCCTGCTCCTGCTCCTGTTCCTGCTCCTGTTCCTGCTCCTGTTTCTGCTCCTGTTCCTGCTCCTGCTCCTGCTGCTCCTTCTGCTGCTGCCGCTGCTGCTGCTGCTGTTCCTGCTCCTGCTCCTGCTCGCTCCTCGCTCCTCGCTCTTCCTCCCTCCTCGTTCATCTGGGCGGCCTCCACGGGGCGGGGACGAGGGGGGGGGGGGGGGGGGCGAGGCGGAGGGGAGCAGTGAGGCTAGGGGGGGCAGGGAGGAAGAGGCCCGCAGCCGTTTTGGCGAGAGGCCCTCCCATTTGCTTGCGCCCTTCCATTTGTGTGCAGACGGCG